GGAGTTGCGAATTGTACTGCAAGTATCTGCTCTTAGAAAATGAGATGCTGTGCCATCCCGTCTCCCAGTCAGCCTACATTAACGTAGCTCACTCTTCGCTCCGATAATCCCTGTGAGGATATGCAGAATGGATAAATAGCCTATGCTATTTTTGTGAAAACTGAAACCTCGAAAACCGCTTTTCTGTACTTTTGCAGTATTTCCTAGGCATTAGAATAATGCACGAGCAAGAAATTTGGCTTGGGACTTGATAAAGAGAAATGACGTCAAAAAATAAAAAATTGAGGCTCGCACATGCGCAGTGAGGTGCAGCTGTTTTTTTTTTTTTTTTTTTTTTTTTTAAAGTAGGCTTTTTGGCTCTTCACCCAGCCTCTGGGATTCAGCCTGCGCGGCGAGGTCTGGGGAGCTGGCTGATGTAACGTAGTGCAGAGTTCCCCAAACCCACTCCGAGCGAAGAGTCTGGAAACCCCACAGCCTTTCCTCCCCCGCTCCCCGCCCCCGAGCAGGACTCTCTAAGTCCCCGGGGCAGAAAGTCGTCGGGAATCCAGGCCGACCCGACCGGCCGTGGCGAGTTTTTCTGGCTGCGCCAATGCGTCGGGGTCTCGGCTCCCGGAGTCCGGTCTCTGCCCTGTCCAGCTCGCTCCTGCGGGTCAGCCGCACCACTCCCGGGCCCACGGGTCGGCCGCGCCGCGGGCAAGGTCGGGCCGGGACGTCTCCGCGAAAGACAGCGCGGGGTGCGGTTCCTGCTGGAGGCTTGGCCACGGAAGCAAAGCGAAAGAATAGAGGCCTTCTTCATCTCTCCTGCCCTCCCCCCGCACTTGCAGAAGCCGGCTCTGTGGGACCCACGGCGCCTTCCTCCCTGTCCCCAGGCCGGTAGCCTGCGGGGCTGCGAGGAAGCTGGAGAGAGGGACTCCCCCCGTCCCTGCCCGCCTGCTCCACGCCTGCGCTCCCAGCGTCACGGGAGGCCCCGCGGGACGGAGGCCAACCGGCCGAGCCTGCCTCCTCTTCCGCACTCGCGCCCTGGGGCCGCGCGCCGCCCCTTCCTCCCGCCCGCGCTCCTTGCCCGGCCTCACCACTTTGGCCTGGCCCAACGACTCGCGCGGGGGCCTTAGGGGCTCTAACCTGAGCAGTAGCCTGACGTAGCCCCAACCGACTACCTGCACCCTACCTCGCTAGGAAGTGTGCAGGGAGCGCAGAGGTGCTCGTTGGGGGTTCTAGAAAATTCGGGATAAGCTGTGAACGTCAGGGATGTCTGCATCCCTCCCTTCCTCTTCAAACCCAGCACCTCTGGGTTTGGAGACACTGAACGCAGGTGCCTGCCAGCGCCAGCGCCTTCGAACCCGGAACCCCGAGGCCACGCTGCGCAGGGACCCTCCGGGTGTCAAGCTTTGCGGCTCTGGCTGAGAATCCCGAGTCCGGGGCTGGCAGAATCTGCAACTGCCAAATCATAGTTCCGATGCGGGCTTGGGGGTCTCTAAGGGTCGTTGGCACCTCCCATCTTTATCTCTTGAGTCCTGTACTAATAAAAAAGTGATGCTCATCTTCTCAGAGAGAAGTCCAACAACGCCAAGATTTTAAAGGGGTGGTGGGTGGCCCTGAGGGTGAGCGTTTAGAGGCTGACAGACTTGTATGGCAGGGCACTTAGAAATTCCTACCTGGTAATATGGGGTTTGGGTACAATTTTTAAAGAACACCCACTTTAGAAAGATCTCTCTCTCCCCCCTCCCCGTAGTAATATTTTATTTTTATGCATGCGCATTGTCTTAGAAAGTGTCGTGCTGTGTTTCACACTTCTACATTAGAAGCATCAATTTTTAGTATCAATTTGTGCTATATGGTGTCTTTGGAGATGAAATTATTCTTGTGTGTAATTCCCCTAATGACGGTTTACTTTGGGAGTGTGGAAAAAGCTCCGTATCCACTGAATTAGTGGAAAAGATCTTTAGAACTTTGGGGCCAACTAAATCACTGTCATCTTAACATTTTATTGATCTGAACACACACACACACAACCCCGTAAAAACTTTAACGTTTAAAATGTAAAGAGTTGACTTTAAAAGTCTTGAAAAGCAAAGAATGGGAAATAAAACACAAGCATGGAAATGTTAATCTTCCCCTCCTGGACCAAACAGTCGGAGAGTCTTCTGCCCTGCTGACACACTTGATGGCAGAATTGGTCCACTCAGTCGTACGCGTAGAATCATGACGTTTCTCCCCGCAAAGAGTGGTAATGCAACATTGAAGATGTAATGTTTGTTTACCTCATTATAAATATTTTGAATCCACTGACTTAGTTATGGGGTATATTATGCTCTTACTTTTAATTTCAGTATGTAAATATGGAGTTACTTCATTAAGTCTTAATGTTGGCAAAATGATTAGTGTGTTCTCATAACTTGAATTACATGCAATTGCCAAATGAATGCCTATTTAAATACTAACACTATGTTTTAATTGTTTAGGGGAGAAGGGAAGGAGACTTCATACGTAGACAAAACAGCTAATTTTTCTTAATAGCAAGAAGCCTTTTATTATTTAACTGATGTTTTACGTTGTCTTACCTCTTCACCTAGGTTACCCTAAGTCCTTCGTGTTTGCTCCCAAAGCACTTATAGTGCTTAGAGCAATTACAGCCCTTAAAACAAGGCAGGATGCATTACGTGCTTGTTGAGTGAATTAATACTTTGTTTACATGTCTGTCTCCCACTAGATTTCATGTCTTAGAAGACAGGGACATTCTGTTACTAGCAAAGTATCTAGCACATACGTATACACACATCATTCATCTCAACAACAGTTTTAAAAATGTGGATGTTAATATCTAATTAGTATATATAAAGCTTTAATTTTTAAAATTCAGCTAGGAGCTGAAGAAAAAAAGCATACATATTAAAATGAACAAAATTTATTTTAGGCATATGTAGAATATATTCCCATGATAATGGGATTATCTGAATTTCCAAAGCAGATTTTTAAAGAGAAACAGAACTTTTCAACTGGTTTTATACTGTCTTTTGGAATTTCATTTACATAAGTAGAGGAATACAAAGGTGATTTTGAAGTTACGTAAGATTAGCTTTTTACAGAAGAGCCAAAGTCTCCCAAACATATCTTTCATGGAAACATTTTTGCAAGTTGTTCAGATAATATGTTTCATTCTCAATCAAATGTATTGTTTAATGTGCCAAATACATTGTATATCTGTATTTAAAGGCATCTGGTACTTTAAGAACTTTAAGTAATCTTTAAGTAATCTTAAATAGCATTTGGAAAAAACCCCCCTGAAATATCCCTTTAAATAGTTTTTTTCCCTCCCCTCAGTGCTTAATTGTTAGAATTGTGTATGTGATTGTGGGGGCATTCAATTAACTTTGAAAAAACAGAATGGTGTTTTAAAGTTAGGAAGTTGAAAAGTGGGTCAGAAAATACAGATTGGCTTTCTTGTTAGTAACAATAATCTGTTGCCATATTTTATTTGAATTCCTAACTATATATTATGATCATTATATGTTACATTTCTCCATTTAATTTTAAAAGCTTCTAAAAAGGAAGCTAGAATTAAGGAGCGAGGATCAAGCTTTTTTAATATGTCCAATTTCAGATATAAAATAGGAATCCTATTTTGTGTTTTATCAGGAACAATACAGTTTAATCCATAGACATGGCTAATGACATACTCTCACATCTGTAGTTAAAAACAAATTAGATACCACTTGAATTTAGGTTTTCAAACTTTGTAGCATTCCTTAAATAGACATAGGCTTATAGGTTTAGACCTTTTTCACCACTGAGCTCTAATCTCAATACTTTTAAAGTAGAAAACACATAGTAAAAGAAAAAATACATAGTAAAACATTTACTAAAAATGGAAGCTGTACTAGCTTGGGAGTTTGATTGTTTAAGGACTGAAACCAATTATGGAACCTTTTAGTTTTAAGGGGATTTTTTTTTCATAATGCAACAAGGAACTGAAAACAAAATTACAAGGAAGGTTTTTTGCAATTTTCATTATTTGCTCAACCTGTTTCTCCCCACACCTTGAAGTAAAAACACACAAAAACCTTAATTTTAAAGGTCTGTTTCCTTAAGAAAATGTGGAGATCATTATGAACCTTTTGCCTTAGAATTAAGTAAAGGGATTGTGGATATCATTGGCTTCTGAACTGTGGCGCAAAAGACAGGCAGGCACCTGCCTTACTGAACCCACTGCTCTCTCTGATTTTTGGTCCATTCTCCAGCTATTTGGGGTACCACAGAATATTAGGACTTCATTAGAGGGCTCAAGTCAGAATGAGATCTCCAAGATTATTTTATAGGACTCATCCCAAATATAAGAACCAGCCAAGTTTGCATGCTCCCTTCTATTGAAGAAGGCATGTCAAGAGGTTTCCTGTCTTGGCACTACTCAGCAGCAGCTGTGACTACTCACTTGGCACCTGGTGAAATTGTAGTTTCTGATGGGGAAACATTTTAAATTGACACCTGTGATTGAGACATATGTCTACAGTTTTTTAAGAGAAGCTAGAAACCAGTAATAGACTAAGCATCTAATTTTTGTTAAAAGAGACTCAGTAAAGAGTTCAAGTTATATAAGCTAGGAAAGTCTTGTTAAGATAATATGAATTAAGACTTTCCAGGTAAAGATTCTCTCCTCCCACCTTTTCCTGGAAATGTCATTCAGCAACAAAATGAGCCTACATTTTAAAAAGTGAAAATGTTTAAAACTCACACAAAAGTGAGGAAACAGCAAAGCTAGTAGTAGTAGGAGAAAGTCATGGAAGACAGAACATCTATACCTTTGTTTCCTCGTCTGCTTTTCTCGTTGAATATGTAGGAGTGCTTATTAGATGTTTTCAATACAATGTAATTCAGGGTATCAGCATCGTTGTCTTGACCCACCAGGGATTCTGAAAACCGAAATGTCTGGTATATGAAAGCTGGACTAAAGGGAAAAACGTTTGACTTTAAGGTTGCATTGACAATAATATATTTATCAGATTATGCAATATCACATTGAGATTTCTTTTGACTGTCAAAGACAAGACGACTCGTTGCCCAATTTCCTCGTCTCCCCTCACTTGCAGCGGGTTTTCCCCGCGCGTGGGGTTCCTGGTCGGACGAGTCGCGTGCTGTCAGGCTGCTACGCTGGTCTGGAGCGGTTTGTAAAGAACCTGGGCTCCTTGCGACGTCCTTCCCAGCAGGTTAGTGACACTCGACGGTGCACGACGCCGGTAGCTGTGGGGCGCGTCTGGCACGTCGGGGGCGCCCCTGCCGGTGGAGTTCCCCCGGGGCTGGCCGGCTTTGCGAACGCGGGGCCCGGGGCCGTGACGTCACTCCGGGGACTGGCCGTTGCAGCGAGACGGCCGCGTTTCTGTTCTGGTCGGTTGACAGGGAGATGTGGGTGCACAGGGAGGACCAGCCCCGGTCCGAGGCCGAGTGGCCGTCGCAGTCGCCCCGTCCGCTCGCGGACTCACAGGCCCGGCGGGCGGGCGAGCCTGTGGCGGGCGGGCGCTGTGGCCGCGGGCGCCAGGAGGCAGACGCAGGTGCTGCAAGGTAGGGGCTGGGGCGGGCGCCCCGACGGCTGGCGGCGGGAGCAGGGACGACGGGGCGGCCCCCTCCGCTGCGTCTGTCCCCGCAGTGTTCGAGCAGTACCAGAAAGCCCGGACCCAGTTCCTGCAGATGGTGGCGGAGCTGGCGACCAGACCCCAAAATATCGAGCCCCTGCAGAACGCCGGTGAGCCCTCACCTGAACCCCCGTAGCCTTGGACTTGCGGAGCTGTGCCACCTGGGGCCTCTGCCCTCCTCGGCGACTCGAGTCCTTAGTCACTCTGAGTCCTCAGCCCTGCCTCGCCTGTCACTCGTATCCCCGGCCACTCGCCGCCCGGTGTCACCTGGCCTCTCCTAGCCCCGAGTCCCCGGTTCTGCTCTTGAACGCTTTCCTTACCCAGGCCTCCTTTCCCACTCCCTCCCCTACTGGCTGAGCTTTGGGGAGGATAAAAATTGGGACTGGAGGACGGCGTTCCTAAATTCCTCCAGTTCACCGTGAAGGCTGTAGAAGCATTCAGACTCTTTAGCTTGCCTTGCGGGCTGAGGCTGAGAGGGTGAAGCTTTCAGACCGGTGTGAGAGAGGCCCAGCGTCCCTATTTCCATCCTTATCGCAGCCAGGCAAGTGTCAAGTTGGAAGTCAAAGCCAAAGGAATTGCCTGGAAGTCATTTTACGTGAATGGGAATCTGCCCTAATCAGACCCGTTTTATCCGGGTGCCGGTGCATGTCACCCTCCCTTTGATCACCTTCCACTTCTTTACACCAAAGGAATTCCAGAGCAGTTGACACATTATTTCTCGTTTTGCATTAGTGAAAGAGCAATGATGTGCTTGAATATTTTCCAGGAGATTCAAAGTCGGTAAAGACCTAGATATGAGAAATCCTTATGGTGTTCTCATTCCACCTCTCAGCCCAAACTCTTGGAGACTATAGAGGAAGAGTTACGTGTCGGTGTGTGTGATTTGCTTCTTATCTATTAGCAAAGAGATACGATAATTATGGTTCTCTTTTTCTCTTTTCTTCTCTCTCAATCTCTCTCTCTCTCTCTGCATGATTCCAACCACCATCGGAACTCAAAAGTAAGATAACATTTTATGATTACAGTGTCAAGAGAAAACCTTCAATTTATAGGATATGATCTTTAAAACTCATTTAAATTAACATGGAATTAAAAGAAAATTAAGAACATATGGGCAGAGCATGCATGTTTAGACATAATATTTATTCTGTTCCCCAGAGGAATTACTAGTGCACCTAGATTTTATTATTATTATTATTATTATTATTATTATTTTGTTACTGGGAGAGATTTTGGTGTTTATTCCTTGTATGTTTTCATTTGGAGTCAGGAGATGTATTTATAAGAGAAAGTGTACTTTATAATCACTTAAAAATTTTTATTTAGGGTTAATTGTAAATTCATATGTAGTTGTGAGAAATAATAGAAGATCCCATATACCTCAAAACTGTAGTATGATACCACAACCAGGATGTTGACATTGACAATTCATTGATTTAATTTAAATTTCCCTAGTCTTAATTGTACATATTTGTGTGTGTTCTACAGTTTTATCCTGCATGTATCCACCACCACCATAGTTAAGACACAAAACTCTTTCATCACAAGGATGCCTCCTCATATTGCCCTTTATAATCACACCTACCTCCCTCTTGTCCCTAACCCTGGGCAACCACTAATGTGTTTTCCATTTAAAACATTTTGTCATTTCAAAGTTGATAATCTTTTGTTCTACAGTTGTTTCATGTGGATAACTTACTTTCTTCTGCATGTATGTATGTGCTTTTGTGCATGCATATATACTCCTCAAAGTACTCAGAGGATTGCTGGATACACAAATTTTCATATATACTGACTAATTCAAGATTATTAGATTATATTACATTTTTTAAAATGCACTTATTTTTTAGGTCACTTTTTCCTCTCAGTCCTACTCAATGGCCTTTGTGAATGGAAATTTGGAAATTAAAAATATTCACTTTTTGGACAATACACAGCTAAACTAAAAAACAATTTAAAGGGTAAAATGATTGACATTAAAAATTTGATACTGACATGTAGAAGTATAGATAACACTTAAGATACAGAATATCATGTTTTAATATAATAGTGGCAGGTTTTCTCTTCCCATGAGTGTACAGTGTAGAATATATTATGGAATTTAATCAATCCAAATATTTAGGCTAGGTGATCACCAAAATATAAGTGACTTAGATATGACATTCTAAATAGCCACCTATTTCCACTTATGGTCTGGCTTATGAAGGAATGAAATACAAAACCAATATAACTTAATGTTTTAAAGTTATATGCACTTGACTAATAACTTGATGGAACATTAATTTTTCTTTTCCTAAGAAATTTATTTTAATATATTTCATGTAAGCTAGATTTAATTTCAAGTACCTCTTTAGTTATTTTACATAGAGACAGATCATGAATATACTAATATATTTATTTTTTAATTAAAAAATAATTGGTCAGCTTTGTTATGAAAACCTAAGTCAATTAACTGAAATATTCAGATGGCTTATTCTTTTAAAAAAATCATCTGGATTCAACATGCTTTTGAATAAGCCACTGTATGTATGCATCAATTATATATTCTCATCAAACTTTGTTTTTATCAGACTTGTGACTTTATTTTGGTAGTCTAAGACACCAATACATTTTATTCTTGGCTTTGACATAATTTCTGCATACATGGGAGGGTTTTTTTCCCTCACTTTTTCTAATAAAGTATAAGTACATTTCATGTATCAAGATAGTGTGAAAAACTATTTCCATATAGGCATTATGATAAATCAGTAGTTCACTTGTTAAAAATTCTTGAATTCATCCACTGTGAAAGAAACTTTAAAGGTGAAAACCATCAATGGAGTTTTACTTCATTTTAAATCTCTGCTCTTTTTCATTTTGTTTTTGATGTGCTAATTAGCTAATGAGAGACTTTTTCTTGTTAAGTATATCCAAAGTAATTACTAAAGCAAACAAAGTGTTGCTAGATATATTCTTAAGAATATTTGGACAAAAATAAGTTTGATTTCTAATCAAACTTTGTTCTAGAAAGAACTGTGTACAGTGTGTCTATAATTCAGGGTTATTTTTTCTCATTGAGATTTTATTCTAAATAAAAAGGGCATACATGAAACATTAAAAAGGTGATTGGTTGTGAAAAGTCTCTTTATGTACCATCAAACCCTGTATGTTTGAACCATTGCATCTTGTAGCTATTTAAAAATGAATTTTTATACTTTTCCTCTTTGAATAACATCTGTAATAGTAGAAAAATACATTGCCACTTCTACCAATTGTAGAATTTGAGCAAGATAAGGTGGCTGTTTAGTTATAACATATAAGAATCATGTTTTATGGCTTATTGGAATACCAGGCCACTCTTAAGTTGTTTAAGAGGTCTTTTGAAATAAGCTAGTAAAAGTTCCAAGAAAATTATTTTTAAACTGCTTAGCTAAATAAAATAAACTTCTCTGAAGCAAATATTTTTATAAGTGGAGGTAAAGTTTAAAATAATACTTTGTAATATATCACATATAACCTATATTAAAACAGTAAACATGGCATATCATTAGGTATGTACATTTTCAGAAGAATAGAAATAAAGAAGTTTGCAAAATACTTTAAATATGCATCTGTATGAAGCTAATTTGCAAGTTGAGGCAATTTAATGGGTTCAGAATTCAAGAAAATAAGTATTATATATTGACATAAAATGACTTTAAACTACATGTATACAGAGCATGGTTAAAAGTCTTCAGATTAATTATCTAGCACTTCAGTTTGCTATGAGAAGAAAAAGTCTGTGTTAAGTATTTATGATGTATTTAAAACATATGTGGTAGGTAAATGTACCATGATTCTCTTATAAAAACCACTGTTCAATAGGATAAAGATAATTAGTGGAGCAATTTCAAAAGACTTAATGAATTATGCTATTTAAATTTGATGCATTTTGTCAATATAAAAGGAGTCATGTAGTTGTAAATATATGATAAGTCAAAGCACTGACTTTTTTTTCTTAAACATAAGGATAGAGGTTTTTTTCACATATGTTAAAATGGAAAATATTCTAGGGAAGTATAAAAATTCTGAAAATGTAGCATCTAACAATATGTCCTAAAAACAGGATTATTCAGTATTTTATTCTGTGTTCCAAATCACTGTTCCTACATGAACATTTATTTGTTTTGTTATATAGGCATTGGTGCATAAATAGAAAAAATACAGTGAGAGCTGGGTGTCATTGATTTCTTGGGAAAAACTGGATGATAAGAAAAAACAACAAGCTGTTGATGAGCTTATAAGAGTAGGGCTTGGAAATGGCAAATGCTGTGGGTTAAATTTAAATATTACATATTAGTTTTTGAAAGGTTATTTAAATATTTTAAATTCCACTTTACATTTTAATTTTGTTTTTTTTAAATGGCCTTTGCTCCTATGACTAGAACCTTTTCCTATAATACTTCTTTGCCTAAAATTAATTACTACTCATTCTTTTTGGCTCTGTTTAGATGTTGATTCCTTAGGGAAAACTTCCTTGGGCCCTCATAGTAGGTTAAGCCTCCTGATTTATGCTTTTCTTGCTCCTAATATTTCTCTTTCAGAATTGCAATGATTTAGTTTCTGTTTTCTCCACTAACTGTGAATTCCATGCCTAGCATAATGCTTAGCATAGAGCAGATATTTAACATGTTTAAATAGAATGAAGAAGTAATTATTTTTGTGTTTTCACATCTCTTAAAAATCAGATTTTTGTAACAGCTCAGGTAGGTAGAGCAGGTATCTGCTCCAGTGTGGATACTTAAGCCCAAAAAGGTTGAATAATTGCCCTCATCACAAAGTGAGTTAATGGTCAAAGTGGGACTAAGACTTGTTTCTTAATTGCTGCCTGACCTTGTGCACTTTCTGCTTGTAGGAATTAGTAAACCATTTCTAAATGGTTATAGGAATTCCTAATAAGCCTCAGTGTTAACTGTTAAAACAGGTTGTCTGTTTAGGCCTTGAGGTACCAAGGCTGTCCAATAATTGTGTATAATTGCCTTTTGAGGTTTCCTTGACTATTATGGGATCTTGAGTGGAGGCCAGATGCAGAGGACTAACTTTAATAAATACCTGGAGGTTTGAGGGAGAAGGAGTTGTATTTAGGGTTAAACTGGCCTCACAGCTCTTGAGGACCTTCTGGTTTCCTGTGGCTAAGGAAAAGTCTTATCAAACCAGAAACTCATTTAAAGCACCCAGGGAAAAGTGTGTAAATCCACTGGGAACTGAGGCCCAAGAGAGTACCTCAGAGAATTGTTGGACTGCGACACTGCTGGGATCAGGGAAGGTACAGAGGAGGCTTCATCAGAGCCCACAGCGCTGTGACTGACTGTCTTTTCTCCTGGGCTTTTTGAGAACAGATGAGGTAGAGCACTGTGAAGAGGGAGGCACTTAAAAAAAATGTTGTTTGATTGATGTAAATGTGTACCTAACACTTCCCTTTGTTTCTCATTTAATCATGCTTTATGTGAAGGATTTTTCTTCCATGATTTTTAGAGGCAGAACTTTGGGATTTCTATCGAGTAGACATGCCAATCCTAGGAGAAATGCAGGGCCACACCTTGAGAAAAATTTGGCCTGGCCTTGCAGTGCATGGGATGGCCCAGCAGAACACAAGTCAGACTTCCCTAATTTCCAAAGTAAATAATGATTTGGTTTTTGCCATTTGCCCCCATGTTTTCTGCCATAAGGGTAGTTCAATTTAAAAATTTATTATTACTTAAGTTCTGTCAAAAGTCTAGGTTAAAACAAGTAACATTTGTGTTTGTGTGTATGTATGCATATGTCTCCAAAGGAAATGATCTCTCTCTACTTTTCCATATGTTCTGTCTCTGTGTCAAGTCAGAATCACTATTAAATTATGTAATTTACTAGGTTATATTAGTTTTCCATGGAAATGTCTTTGTAGAATTAGTTTAATAATATGCCCCCTTTTTAATTTTTAAATCAAGGGCATATTTTACAAAATAGACAATATCCCATAGCCTTTTTAAATCTGCCATTGAAGATATTATCCATTTTGTTATTAAATGTTTTTAATATAAAGATTTATATACTCTTTTATTTAACTGTCTTAACTATTACTTGTCAAACTAGCCCCTGGTATGGAATTTTAGGGAAAAAAATGCTCCTACTTTCTATTTCATGAAGTATTTCCCTTTTTTACTTTTGCTAACATAAAACTCAGTGCTATGTTCAGAGCTCAACTGAAGAAACTATCCATAACCTATGTTTCTAATAAAATTGTCAATCTGTGTCTCCACTCCATGGCTCTTAATGATTATCTTTGTATACATGTATTTTAGAGTAAACTACCTACAAAGAATTTAGACTAGGTGGAGTATGAATAAAATAAAAATTCTATCTGAAGATACATTTTTGCATTAACTGCCTTCCAACATTTTCCTTTTTAGATATTACTCATGAAAGCTCTTGGAGCAGACAGTCCTTTTAGAACTGTCCTATTTATTCTTTACATATTAATTTTCACCATTTGTTCATCATTCAATAAACATTTATTGAGTGTCCAAGTGCCAGATGAATACTTAGATGCTGATTATACAAAAATAGAAAGCCCTTAAGGGGCTTATTTGCTAATGGAGAGATATATAAATAAATAAAATACTGTTTGATAAGTGTCTAAAGATAGACATATGGAGCACATATGGAGGGTACTTAACTCAGGCTTTGGGAGTGAAAGGTGCTGTTTATAGGAGTTTCTAGGAGGCATTCCTAGGAGTTAGCCAGATGAAGGGGGGGAGGGAGAAACTACATTTAGGTAGAGGGAAATTATGTGGATAGGCACAGAGGCAAGAGAAAACGTGGCATATACTTGATAGAAAAGACAAATATTTAGGTATGGCTGGAGCTTCTTGGGGGTGATAAAGCAAGGGAGAGAAAAGTCAGTGTCTAGAGAGGAAAACAGGCCTAATTATTAAGAACCTCTTCTGAAATTCGTATTTATCCTGAAATTGATAGACAGACATTGAAGAGTTTTAATTAGAGGAATATTGGGATCCATTTTGTGTTTTAGAAAGGTGATTTTCCCAGTAGCGTGGAGAACAGATTAGAAGAGATTAAAAAAGTATCAGGAAGACTAGGTATCCATTTTTGCTGTACCAGTTACATTGGGTAAGAGATATGTAAGACTTGTGGCTTAGTAAAAGGGGTAAGTAGAAGCAGTCAGGAGAGAGATGAGTTTAAGATGAGTTCCAGGCTTCTGGTTGCATAGGCACATTAGTGCCATTTGTTAATGGTGAAAGAGGATACAAAAGGCAGAGGAAATGGTGATTTCACTCTAACAGTGTGGAGGTTGTAGTGTGTCTGGGATATCTATGTACTAGTGACTATGTTAAGCAATTTGGATATATAGGGTTCTGGAGCCTAGGAAGAATACCTTAGCTGGGAATAAAGGTTTTGATATGTGGAACTTACATGTTCATTTGAAAACTATAGTCAAAGCTCATTTTTATATTTCTTTATGTAATTGTAAACATGTGAGTTCCAATCATTTTATCTAAAGTATATGTAAATTCAACTTGCCTTAACTTGTATCCTTTACATGCTCACTCAGTTCAAATCTCACATATATAGATGATGATGGCTGTGACATAGTGGAGAGTCAGACACACTGGAAGAATGAATGAAATTTCAATTTAATACAGTAATAATGACAGAAACAGTAATGTTGGTGTAGAACAAGGTCATTTCAGCAGGTTATACCCTTTATTATGCATTCTAAACCTGGCAGTAGACCAGTTTTAATTGGTAAATGGTACATGCTATGTATCATTAAATCAGTAAATAAATACATACTCTGCTTCTTTGCCCTCTTAAAAGAACTGCTAGCTTGTTCAATGAGTCAGTGGTCTCAGTCCCATCTTCCTCTAACCTCTCTCCACCCAAAAATGACATATCGGGTGTGGTAGCCCTTCACTCATAAGCAATTGAGTTAATAGTGAATCACCAAACAAAATTCAGAAGATACTAACTATAGTATTAACTATAATGATAATAATTTATAAAGGAGAAAATAGATGTTTTTTTATCATAATGTAAAAAGATTATACATACATTTCCTGATTCATTCTGACCCTTTAAATATATTATAAAACACTTTGTGTGTTGTAAGGGATATAACATCTAAACACATAATTGGGAGACTTCCAGTCAAGATGGAAGCATAGCTAGACACACTTTGCCTCCTTGTACAACCATATGAAGGATCACAATTAACCTCAAAACAGAAAACACCCAGAACTGCCAGAAAATCAAACTGTATGGAAGTCCTACAACCAAGGATTTAAAGAAGCCATATTCATCCAGATGGGTAGGAGGGATAGAGATGGGGACCTGGGGTGGAGAGGATGTGGTGTGGTGGTGAGATGGCAGTGGAGGCTGGAGAAATGGGTGGTCAAGCATTCATATGTGGTGGATAAAAACTGGGATAACTGGGGAATGAGTGATCCCAGCCCCAGGACAGACTGCTCAGCCCAGGGTTCCAGTGCCAGGAAAGTTAAGCCTCATAACTTCTGGCTATAAAAATCAGTGGGGGTTGGGGTGGCAGAAGAAATTGCTTGTCTCTCAGGAAAGTCTGTTTAAAGTGCCCACATGGTCCTAGAATGTACACAAGCCTACCTGCTCTGGAAACTAACACCAGGGCAACAGCTAGAGGGGCACCAGCCGCATATGGGAAATGGCTACAGTGACTGGAAGAAGGGCAAGTGCCAAGCAACCCTCCAGCATCCAAGCAGTGGCATTGTCCCCTTTCCAACCCCTCCCCAACACACAGAGCCACAAAATGGTAAACGGGGTTGCCCCACCCTAGCAAATACCTAGGGCTCCACCCCATATAACTTAACAGGTGTGCTAAGACACAGAGTAAAAGCAGATCTACCTAATACAAAGAAACAAATACAGGGAGGCTGTCAAATTG